TACCTTAAACCAGGATCAGTAAAGCACTATTGCTCTGTTTATCCAACATAGGATGCCCAAATAAGTAAACACAGTTATAGTTTAGCATGAATGATCTTGTTTATACAGTGTGCCAAGGCTAAAATCCCATAATATGCTGAACCACAAATTATCCAACTTTTTAGCCTAACACAGCAACTTGTGGAAACCTACTTAGAAGATAATGGAGAATATTAGTAGTTCAGGGTGGACATGAGGGGTCCTTGGTGCTCTCTGAGCTTGGTTGCTTTCTTGCAGACATTTCATTGCCCAAACTAGGTAACATCATCAGTGGTAGTAGGGAGTGGGGTTTGCTCTCAATTTATATTCTAGTAGCTTGCCCTGTCAATGTTGGTGGGAGTGGTCTCTGTGGTTCTTTGATTGGGCTGTTTACTGTTAGCTTGCTTGGTAGTTCCTTGATTGGGGTATTTTTACTTGTGGACTGTTGGTCTGATGTTAATCTTGCGGTTAATCTATGCTTATTTGGGTGTTGATTGCTGCCAGGGTGGTGTTTTGGTCTTTTTGTTCCCTTTTTGGCTTGTTGATTGTCCCTATTGCACAGTGGTAGATGTTGTTTATGTCTCTGTGTCTCTGTAATAGTCTGCAACTTCATCAAAAAGTGCCTGACCGCTCAACCCAACACAGCACAACAAACACATTGTAAAAAGGATAACACTGGCATACATCAAAAACATCTCAGAAACCACTAACAGACTATTCCAACCACATGGCATCATAGCATACCTGCCTTTTTCCATAGAGCAAATACTGGGGGCTTTTGTAACATTTATCTGTGTGGGAAGTCAAATTTAGCAACTTAAATAGGGACAAGTAAAAACATTTCCAATAACCTCTTAGAAGCAGAATTCTAAAGTGAAAAAAAATCAACAAATTTCTTACAAGTTTACAAATGATTGAGATGCATGGCTCAACTCAGTTGCTATAATATCGGTAGATTTGATTTGCCATCAGCTAATGTGCAAAGGACAGACTCTTTTTCGAATAAATTCTGTTAGAGAATTTTAATTTCTCTATTGGTGAAAAATAAATCAGAAGCTCTCACAGTTGAATGCATTTAGCTGATTCAAATAACTTCTTTATATTAATATCAAAATATTTACAATACCATACATTCTTCTTTACAGCATCATAGCACAATGAAGACTTCTTACAGAGAGATACAGAGACAGACCCAAGACTGACAAATT